GCAAGGAGAGGGATGACAAGAAAAGAGTTTTCAAGGAGAGGAATTGCAAGCAGAGGAATTGCAAGGAAAAGGATCACAAAGAGGAATTGCAAGGAGAGGGGCTGCAAGGAGAGGTACTACAAGGAAAAGGTTTGCAAGGAGGAATTGCAAGGGGAGGGATGACAAGGAAAGAGATTTCAAGGAGAGGGGTTGCAAGGAAAAGGTTTGCAAGGAGGAATTGCAAGGAGAGGGGTTGCAAGGAGGGAGGTTGCAAGGAGGAATTGCAAGGAGAAGGGTTGCAAGGAGAGGGGCTACAAGGAAGGGAATTGCAAGGAGAGGGTTTGCAGAGAGGAATTGCAAGGAGAGGGGCTGCAAGGAGAGGAATTTCAAAGCATTATCTTCCTGGAAAGCCGGATGAAAAGGGCGCCCGGTGGCAGGATCCAGCCTGGGGCGCCTGGCTGCCCGTGCCGGCGCCGCGTCCCGCCGGAGCTGCCGCGCTCTGTCCTGGCCTAGATTCCGCGGGCGGGAAACGGGGCCGGAGGCTGGCGGGGGGGGGAATGCGGCGGTGCCCGGACGCCTGGGCCCCTTCCCGGCTGCCCCCCACAGTGGGAACCGTCCACGGGCTCCGCAGCATTGTGGGCTGAGCCCTGGCAAACTCGGTGCATGGAGTCACTCCGGCCTCTCTCCCTTTCCCAACAGAGCAACGATGCCTCAGGGAACACTTGGAACTGGCTCTACTTCATCCCCCTCATCATCATCGGCTCCTTTTTTATGCTGAACCTGGTTCTGGGGGTGCTGTCCGGGTGAGCGCTGCCGGACACAGGGACGGATGGAGGGATAGAGGGAAGGATGGAGGGGCACAGGGATGGATGGAGGGGCAGAAGGATGGATGGAGAGACTAAAGGACGGATGGAGGGATAGAGGGATGGATGTGGGCAGAGGGATGGACTCAGGCACCTTGTGCCGCAGGGAGCTCGCCAAGGATGGATGGACGGAGGGATGGGTGCAGGGACAGAGGGATGGGTGCAGGACAGCGGGATGGGTGCAGGGATAGAGGGATAGAGGAACGGACAGAGGGATGGGTGCAGGGACAGAGGGATGGAC